TATGCCCGCGAATCATACGAATAATTCCCACACTTGGACAGTTTAAGTGCCAATCATCCGATCACGGTGTGTCTCCGCTGAAGAAGCCCTAAATGCTCGACTCGGATTAGGACCATGATACTAAGCATTGTCACTATTCCTATAATATTTACTTTACAGTGTTTGGTTTATAAATGTTCTAATTGTCTAATTGACAAGCTACAATGAACATACTGATTAAATTGCCGGTTAATCTGACTTCAATATGAGTGAAGGTTAGAACTTGCGCACCTGGACGAATTGTCTATGTGTAAGGCTCGTGCGTCCGAAAGAATGTGATATGCTAAGTATTGTACGCGGCAATGCCACCGCGCAGCGCATGCGCACGAATATACATAAAATTATATGCGTTAGTTATAAACATCATAGACGTTGAGATAAGAATAGAGCATACAAAGATACCGGCGTGCACCTACACCCTGCCAGGCAGTAACCTTTCGTTACACCCTGCAATCATATATATGCCATTACTCGGCGTCCGCGACATCGCAACTCCCATTTTCACCATGTGTTGATTCGGCGATTCATAGTTATTTAGACGGAAGTAGTGTAACGAAGCTGGTTTCACCAATGGCTTATTAATTACAATTACTTTGGGCCATAGGCCAACGGTGGTCCGCGGTTGGCGACACCCGGCCAGGTGAATAAATGAGATATTCGGAGCGCGCGCCGTCCGAGCTGAGGGTATGAAGTATAGTAGCAATAAGGTTGAATAAAGGCCGCCGCATCACCTCAGCCGATTTACAAACGATGCAAGTCGATGTAAGATAACCGGATGTAGGTGGTCGGCGATCGTTTTAAGCAATACGGCTCATCAAACGATCATCGACTCGATGTTCAAAATCAACAAACCATGTTTGATGTTCAACGAGACGAGTTCGAACCAACATAAAGAAGAATCAAAAAGTCTCGTCTACAATGAAAACTTGCGCTCACCACTAGCATTCTGCGTTAATCGCTTCATCGCTTCGGTACGTTATTGTAAGAAATCGGCTTGGAGTGACGCCGACCATTAACAGACTTCAAGAGCATAGGGCGGCCAGGAGTGCTGCAAATGATAATCTGTTCTTATCGACCACCTGCACACCGTGCGGACGTTCAGGAGACGTGAAGTCAGAGCACAAGGTCTGGTAGCTTATCCACAGAGAAGAGTGCAACGTACACCGTAACTTGCAACCTTTCTATTCTGGAGTCAGGAACTTTTTTCCTCGAGAGCGTGGCCTAACTAGAAAGATCTTATTAAAGTTACGAGGTAATGAAACAGGTACGAAACTAAATTTTCACCTAATGAATTAAAAAAACATATAAAGGAAAGCACAGTTCTACTCATTTACAAGACAGAATTACTTTACTAACAATAACAAGATTTCACGAACTTCTAGTCAGTGAACTAGGAGCTTACCACTTGTTTTGGTTTTAATATCATTTTTGGCTTGGCGGCCCACTTGACTCGCGTGCGACGTACTGTGTAGATCGAGCTGGTGGGCGGGTAGTCACCGCAAAATGCTGGCGACATAATAATGTAACGAAACGCTTGGCCACCGGAAGCAAACGGGTCGTCCATCTTGCCACCTCCATCCCTGGCCGATCATTGTCTCTGTCGTCTCGTCTGACATCGTCCCTCGTAACCGTCAGCACTACTGGCTGTCGCGCCGCCTCGTTAAAACATTCGTTGTCAAACTCCCCACCAGGGCGCCGCGCGGACTCGCTGTCGAACTCGTGCTGCGACTCTGACCCTGTGACGTCCAGCGAGGTGAACTGACTGATGAGTTGTCTCGCGGCTTCCGCTATATTGCTCGGCCCGCGAGCTGCCCTGCCTCATCGAATCCTGCAACACATGATACAAGTGTTACAGTAACTCAGTTATCACGGATACGGGTTATACAAGCTGTGCTGCTACACTTACTGCAGCTACATGGACTTGCACCACTACACCTCATTGTTTAACACCTATCATGTGTGAGTTGTGACCAATTTCCCTTTATGGTGCATAGTAGATTTCACCTGATCTGTTTCATAAAATTGAATCAGCTATGTTTAGGTAGCCAGCCACCTATGTGCACTCTGCAGTGCTCGAAATAAGAAAAAAAATGTGGTTGTCCTGCGGACAACCCTGCAATCAAATCGGGTTGTCCGCACAAGTTTCTGGTTGTCCAAAAATATCCCCAAATCTCCTATTTTCAATACATAATATATATGATCAGAAAACACCAAAAACAGTGGCGTAGCCAGGATTTTTTAACAAGGGGACCAAAAACAGCGAACTGCCCAAAATAGTGGATGAATTTAATATTTTACTGGCTCCTCCGCTCTCCCTCTCCACCCTAACGCTCCTCTACCTCTCAGCTCTGCAATCCATGCGAAAGGCAACATTTTTGTTCATTGTTGTCCTGCTACAAGATATGTAATTGTTCAGTGGCGGTTTAGGATTCCAAGGAGGAGGGGAAAAAAGGCATAGGGAGGGGGATGGGGGTCCTCCCCCAGAAAATTTTAGAAACTTACTGGTTCTGGTTCCAAATCGAGTTCATCTCTCATAAATCAGAAAACTGACATATGCCAGTTGTTGAAATAGCAGCTGTCCCATATTTTTATATATTCACTGTTTAATTCACGACTTTAAGATTTTCTTGATGAGCTAGAAAACACTCCGATTTGAAGTATGAAACTGAACATTATTGGCCAGCTAGCCTACACCAGTTGTTGGGATTGATTGTCAGTTCAGATGCAAAATATTGAAAGCAAAAGGTTATACACCATAGATTAATTGGTACACGCGTATATATAGATAGCCGAGTCGGTTTAGAGTCAGTGTTAGCTAGGTTATAGTCGTTTGCCGCCCTATATCTCCTATATGTTGACCCTGCAATGTAATTACTTTGAACTTTTCATGGAAATGTGTTCTATATAGTTATGGAGAGGCTGATTTAGCTTGGTTGCTACCTGTGCAACGTTGAGCATTTCTTGGAATTCAAGATGGCCCGCACCCGTCGATCTGGATTTTGGTCAATTTACATTTGTGATCTCGATGCCTAGAGTGTCATGCAATACCTCTTTTTAGGGGTTTTCGAGGGCAGGGAGTCCATTTCTAGAGTTATTTTTTAGATATGGGTCAATGTCAAGGTCAAAATGACGGTGAAGCGGTCAAAATAAGACACTTTAATGTAAATTCACTGTTCATAATAGTATATAATAGGCTGACAACTACGACTTGAACATTACAAGACCAAATGGATGAAAACCACCCACACATGGTCATGGAGTTCACCCAGCATCCTGCCGGCATCATCGAGACAGGAAACATTGGTGTGATGCAGCTCACGATCCCCCGAGTCAAGAAACACGAGGCATTCTCTCAGCAACTCATAGCCAATCAGGCTATACAGCTGCAGCACTACACAGGACCTTCCAAGCTGAATCCACCTCTGATTCCAATGAAAGCTCTGTCCGCAGAAGATCACACGCTTCAATCCGCTGCAGTGAGTTTCAGTCAGCAGCGAGACGCAGCCTGGCTGTCGCAAGTCCATGAGAGTGACAAGCCTGTCGAGTGGGCGGGCTTCAATGCTCAGCAAGACCGACTAGTGCGCGGCTCTGCCCATAAGCCCAGAACACTGGGGTGTTTGGACCGATGATCGATTCACCACCTGCTCACCCAGACACCGTTCTGACTACGCTCCTGTATCTCGAGAGGACTCTCAAAACTTTCGGGATGCAGTACACCCACCTCTCTGTTGATCTCCAACTATATCAGACTGCATGCCTAGTCCAATGGAAAGACCCTCAGCGCTGACCAATCTTATACCTCACACCGGGCAGGATGCACACTCCATGAGTTTCCTGGGCTGTATAGGGGCACTGATGAAGGCATCTGGCGTGGACGTTCTCATGAGCGCAGCATTTGTGGCATGACCAGCATCATCACCGGAAGACCTGAACAAAGGCTCTACGGGCATACCGTCTCATCATCGCCGTGTTGCTCGCAGAGTTTCTACTCAAATGGTGCCAAGAACATACCAGAGCTGAGTGACTACCCTGGAGACAGCCAGAAAAACCCCAACTGGGAGGCTATGGGTGGACTGTCTCATCAAGCCGACACTGCTGACGCTCATGTTCCTGCGTGGAGAGCGGAATGGTGCTTCTTTCTCCTCCAGCAGCACTGTCTCAAGGCAAATGCTGCCGTATTTCTTCGCAGCAGGTCACCACGATTATGCCCGCGACATGAGCTGTATGTGCAACAGATGGAGCACCTTCCAGCGTGCCCGGAGGAGCTAACTGCAGCGCACATGTCTGTTCGGCATTCTGATGGCGGACCGCAGTTCCAGCAGATCAGTTCGGGCGAACAGACATATATCAAGCGAGGGAAGGGTGCTGGAGGTATGAAGGGCATATCGCCGAGCGCCGAGCAAGTGCTGTGTGGTCAACAGTTTCAGTGTGTGCCACCTCGACATCGCCATGGAAGATATGTACAGTGAAGCTGGGATGAGGAGAAGCCACGTGGTCGAGTGGATAGAGAGGAGAGAACAAGCACAAGGAGGAAGGAAGGGAAGAGAGAAGACTTGGAGAGTCGATCGGAGGAAGATCGGAGCAGAGCTGGAGAAGTACACTCACCCCCTCAACGAGCAGCATCCAGGTCTCTATAACATCTGCAATGGCCAAGTGGCGCCCGACACAGTGAATGTTCAGGATGCACTGACTATCGGAGTGAGCAAGCAAGCAGTTTCCGCTTCACTAAGTAGTGACTTCCACAAAATCATAAAGAAAATTGTCAAGATCAATGGAGGCACTCAGAAGGCAGTCACTGTCAAGGGGAAGGCCATCTACGACATCGAGACACTGTTTAGTCGTCTGTTGTCTTGGGCAGCAGCGGAGCGTGGATCTATTCAACATCTTCCAGTTTGAACTGAGTCGCAGTCCCAACATCCTGATTGATGAGTATGGATGTTTGAGGAAGGGCAACAAGGCTGTGCTCGTCAAGTGTCTCGGTGTTTCTGTCAAGACTCCACCTGCTCCAGACGTGGTGTTGGTTGACGCCGGTCAGCTGCTGTACCACGTTGTGTGGCCAGTCGCTGGGACCGCAGGAGATCTGGCTGCAAGCTTTGTGCTCGACTGGCCCACTACCCCCCCTGGCTCAAAAAAATAGTCCGTTCGACAGGTATGACCAAGAAGCTCCTACGCAAAGGAGGCATGAGCAGATGAGAAGAGGAAGAGCCAAGGAAGTGCGGCTGACCCCAAACACACCCCTTCCATGCCGACAAGCTATTCTTCACAATGCCACGAACAAGAGTCTGCTCAACAACATCCTATGCGGCTACTCTCTTCCTCACAACATCCAGCTTGTCAACAAGCTGGACTGTGTCGTCACCCATGCTGAGGCAGACATCACTCTCTGCAGCTACATGCTGAGGCGGCAGCAGAAAGATGCCCAGACAATCCGTCCTCAAGTGATGACACAGACGTCTTCGCCTCCTGGTGTACTGGACATCAAGGATGGCGGTCATTGCCAAGATCAAATGGAAAAGTGGAATGGTGATGTCCTGGATATCAACAACTGTTGAGCGGTTAGGCCCCAGAAAGTGCAGCCAGCTTCTTGGTGTCCATCTGCGCTGTCAGGCTGCGATACGGTGTCGTACCCCTTCGAAAAGGAAAACAGTCAGCACTCAAGCTCCTGGAGATTGATATACCAGGTCTGGATCAAGTGCTTGGAGAGCTTGGCGCGACCCATGCTGCAACTCAAAGCGACAGCAGAACAGCTTCTTCTTCTCCTCTCTACGACAGAAAAGTTGTACGACAATGAATGATGCACGTACTCGCCTCTACCAGCGCAGCCATAAGAAGCCGCCACAACTGAAGAAACTGCCACGACTGCGACTGACGTCACCCTGCAGCTGCATGTGCTCCGAACTCACCTTCAGATGCTACTGTGGAAGCAGCAAACCAACGTGACCACCTGAAGAAGCTCTACATATTACCAACTTTTGTTGGAGTATCAAAGGCTCCACCATCACACCGACCATCTCAACAGCGCCAGTTGCTCCCCAAGCGCTCCTGGATGTAGTGAGCTGCCAGCTGACAGGCAGAGGGCAAGGCATGCAGCGGGGAACGTTGCAGCTGCAACCGTGCAGGCCTTTCATGCCAGACTATTGCAAGTGCGAGGGAGGGTCGCCTGTTGTAGTCAATTCACGAAAAATCAGATGGACACCGAAGACAATAAGAGGAGCTAGGTGTAGATGACGACGATGACAATGATGATGATGCGCGGATTGAGGAGTAATGAGGATGAGGAGTCATAGAGGATTGTGACAACTACTGTTTATTGTGTACTGTTTAAGGCTGTTTGCTATTTTCTCGTTGAATTTACATTAAAGTGTCTTATTTTGACCGTTGACCTTTGTTTTGACCTTGACCTTGACCCCATATCTAAAAAATAACTCCAGAAATGGACTCCTGTCCTCGAAAACCCTAAAAGAGGTATTGCATGACACTCTAGGGCATCGAGATCACAAATTGTAAATTGAACCAAAATCACAAGATCGACGATGCCGGCCATCTTGAATTCCAAGAAATGCTCAACGATGCACAGGTAGCAACCAAGCTAAATCAGCTCTCCTAACTATATAGAACACATTTCCATGAAAAAAGTTCAAAGTAATGGCATTGCAGGGTCAACATTTTGGCAACTGACTATTAGGGATAGTGTTCTTGGTTGTCCACCGGACAATGTTCTCAGACTGGTTAGTTGTCCGGCCCAATTCTGGTTGTCTCGGACAACCGGACAACGCTTATTTCGAGCACTGCTCCTGTAATAAAAATGATAAACCAGGGAAATATAATAAGGGTCCGTGAACCAGGCGCATGCAAATTTTGTATTTGTTGTGCTTATGTACATTTTATGGAAAGGGTCCATAGCTTTCACCGCCTTTCTCAAAGGGGTCCATAATAACTCAAAAAAGGTGGAAATGACGAAAATTGTCTTTATAGACAGCTCACCATTCGAAAGATGTGGTTTCTTTGTATAACTACCAATGATAGAAAATGGCAATATTTATAGACAGGTCTCCGATGTATAGAGGTGACCGACGTGACACAGGTTTGACTGTATACCTTACAGCATGCATGCACTCACCTCCACTTTTCCCTGCTTCAGGATTCCTTCGGAGAAGCAGCGCTCTCCATGCGAAAGCAGACTTCCTGCACCAGCTCTGAGGGAGGAGTTCTGCCACGCCTGCCTGCACTCAGCCTGCTGCTGCTCTGCCATCGCCGTGACAACCTTCTGCAGCCCTCGCCCGACACCCAGCAGGTGCCTCGTGTTTGCGCCAGACATCGTCGAGCTCTGACGACAAACGTGCACTGATCAATGCATGGACAGATGGTGCCACATCGGGACATACATGTACGCCGTACAACAATGCACTGATGGTGATGGCTAGCAACCTGCACTCATGAATGAATGCTGAGCCTGTGATATATCCAAGAAAGTACAAGCGACGTGCTTTATCAAATTTTAGTAAACGTAAATAATTATTAAATTATCTATTTCTACTAGATGCACATATCTATACTCTGAACATGCATATAATCCATGCAAGTGATGCCATTTTAGAATGTTTTCGAAAAGTGTCACTAGATTCTGGAAGTAAGTAGCACTGGCTAGCATGAGTAATGCAGTTTCTGATCATTGGTTTCTATGTAACAAATTAAGGTTGGCATATCCATACCCAATTGAAAGTTTTAGCATTCTTAAAGCCCGCCGCACACGCTGTGTTTTGTGCTGCGCCATCGACCACGCGTGGCTGATGGCGCAGCACAAAACACAGCGTGTGTGCATTCAAACGCATCGATTTCTTGCGTGTGGAAAATATCACACGTGTTTGATATTTTCTTCCACGTGTGGCAGATTGCACAGCGTGTGCGGAGTGGCTGTGTCAAGTTCCACACCGGCTCTATGTAACCGACCAATAGCAGCAGGTCAAGCGAGTCACGTGATCATAACTTGCGGTTGCAGCGCGGTTGCACTGCGGTACACCCACGTACACGCAGATACACGCACGTACACGCACGTACACGCGGGTACACGCGGGTACACGCACGTACACACAGATACACGCACGTACACGCGGGTACACTGGTTTATTCTGGTGTTCTGCGCAGGCAGTGCAGTTGTGACACAGCTCTGCAATGTCAGTTTCGATCTTAGGCCCATATACCGCTGTGCGTGCGAGCTGCTTCATCCACTGTATCCCGAAGTGTCCCAAATGCAGCGATTGAAGCACTTGCTGATGCATACTTTCAGGGATGACTACTCTGGACCCATATAGCAAACACCCATGGGCTGTCGACAGTGAATCCGCCAGCTTCCTGAAGTCTCTGACTGAATAGCACTCATTGCTCTCTACATTCGACCGTGAATCCTCGGGTGGCCATCCCTCACGGGTATGACGCATCACCGTTGCAATCACAGGATCCTTGCCTGATTGCTTTCCCACGACACCAGGGTCCGTTGGCTGTAGCTGTAGGCTCACCGTTTTAATAATGCAGACAATGCCAACATCTGCCTCACTTTCCTCCCTATCAAAGATGACGTCAGGTCCCACTGGCAGGCGACTGAGCGCATCGGCGTTCCCGTGGTCTGACGTCTTTCTATATTCTATTGAGTAGTCGTACTGGCTAAGCATCAAAGCCCAGCGAGCCAAACGATTGGCCGCCAGTATTGGCGTTTCTTTGGTTGGCTCGAACAGCGCTAGCAACGGCTTATGGTCTGTAACCAAAATAAAATTTCGACCGTACAGAAACGGGTGAAACTTCTTCAGCGCAAAAATGACAGCTAGTGCTTCCTTCTAAACTTGGCTATAGCGGCGCTGTGTATCTGTCAGCGTCTTGGATACGTTAGCAATTGGGCGCTCACTGCCGTCACGATAGCGGTGAAACAACACTGCTCCAATGCCAACTTCTGATGCATCGCATGACACCCTAATCAGCAGGGATGGGTCAAAATGCGCCAGCACTGAACCCTTGAAAAGCCCTTTTTTCAGCGGCTAAAAAAGTTGCTTG